ACCTTGTGTCACGCGATAGGCATCGGATATCTACCTTGTGTCACATGACAGATATCTATCTCCACCTTGTGTCACGCGATAGATATAGGATATCTACCTTGTATTACGTGACAGATATTGGTTCTTCACTTTGTGTCATGTGACATATATAGAAGCTCCAACTCGCGTCACGTGACAAGCATCGGATATCTACCTTGTGTCATATGACAAGCATCTGATATCTACCTTGTGTCATGTGACAAGCATCGGATATCTACCTTGTGTCATATGACATGCATCGGATATCTACCTTGTGTCATATGACAGATATCAAATCTCCACCTTATATATTTGTGACAGAATGTTAGGCGGGATATCAAATTCTTTAATTTGACAAAATTTAATAAAGTTATACATCTGTGCATGCATTTTAAGGCTAATTAAGCAGAATCCATAACTTTTGATGCATAAAAGTGGTGTGTTTCATTAATTTTTACAAATATTTAAATGTTTAATCTAACAAACAATAAGAGATTATCACTAGTATGGTTCATGTAAGAAATAATTAAACCGGATCTTTATGTGAATATCTGGATTTTCGAAAATGCTTCATTTGACAAACATTTACAGAGTTTCCAAGTTATTTTATAAACGTGTCAAGTCGGGATTTGAAGCTTCTATCTCATTTATAAAAAAAACAGAAAAAATCAGATGAAAGAAAGTAAACAACTTTTTCATTAAAAGTGATAACACTGTCACACGTTTAATCCATATTTTTTGTAATTCAGTGATAACAACTTTTTCATTAAAAGTGATAACACTGTCACACGTTTAATCCATATTTTTTGTAATTCAGTGATAACAACTTTTTCATTAAAAGTGATAACACTGTCACACGTTTAATCCATATTTTTTGTAATTCAGTGATACAACTTTTTCATTAAAAGTGATAACACTGTCATACGTTTAATCCATCTTTTTTTGTAATTCAGTGATAGCAACTTTTTCATTAAAAGTGATAACACTGTCATACGTTTAATCCATCTTTTTTTGTAATTCAGTGATAGCAACTTTTTCATTAAAAGTGATAACACTGTCACACGTTTAATTCATCTCTCTTTATAATTCAATGATTTTTTCCAATTGTTTATAAATACTCGTTATATCCTACAACACTATTACGAAAGTGGAAGATATAAAATATAATGTAATGTTACTCTGTTACTACAATCACACAAATCACATCCAGTGATATTTGAACTCGATCCATCTAGAATATATAAACACCATCAGCTTGGATCTCGCCAAAAATGAAACAGCTCAAAGTTTTCACTAATCATACTTTAATTAAACGTGATGTTACATAAATTCGCATGAGTTAGTCTATTGTATACATACGAGTGTCTACAACACTATTCATCAAATTGCTTCAAATTACGATCAAAACGGAGACATTTTAAAGAACGATTGATTACGTATTATGGTTTCTCATTTTTATAAAATCAATATTACATTCTTCTTAAAATAAAATCAGGTAATTCTCGAACTTCAGACATAAAAAGCAGTTAGATACGTGAGAAAAGATCAACGCTTATTTCACAATTCATATACATCTATGATACGACTCTCAACGGAGCAAGAACAAGATAGTTGTTCAATATATGTGTGTATATATATATATAAACTACAATGCTAGGTTTCATATCAAGATGGATAAGTACAATAAAACTTCAATCCTTTCTCTATTCCCGAAAATTAAGCCTGTTTCGTCGCTTCACACGCTACTTTTCAGTTAGAATTTGTTTTCCAAATAACCTCTGTTTTCTTCTTTTTCGGTTGTTGTTTATTATTAAGCACAAAGCTACACAAAGGGCTATCTGTTCTCTGCCCCCACAGGTATCGAAACCCGGTTTCTAGCGTTCTAAGTCCGCAGACAGACCGCTGTGCCACTGGGGGGGGGCTTCTTTTTCGGAAAAGAGAACGAATATGTACGAATATGGCTTGTTATATGTACGTGACGTCAAACGACTGCTCTGTACACTTTATCTGGATTTAGCATTAAATTCTATACAATGAATATATTTTTTAATGTGTCATACTTTCAGGGATACGTAAGTTAGGTTGAATTTTTAAGTGTGATTTAACATACAAGTCATTATGCATCAAGACAAATATATACAAACCTATGTTCAAATATTCACACTATAAAATCAGCAACACCAAATACAGCTCTATAGACTACCAGTCAGTTTAATAGCTTTTAAAAACATCAGGCCTACACAGATGTGCTTCGAATTCTTAAATTTGTTTTTATTTTAATGTTGATAAAAATTTTGAACTATATATACGACAGAGTGACAATAATAACCTATTAGCTCTAAAATATTTTAACATTTTTCATAAGCTAGTTTTCGTACTTCTTATGCTTGATAGCTTGATAAATATGAAGTTACAGACTCGGAGAAATGCAAAGAAAAAAATATGTGAAAATTGAAAGAAGAAATATTTACCCAGCGAGTTAGAAAATGTTTGTGGCTTTATAGCCATTGAAAGACTTATATTACTGTTTAGAGTATCATGGCTATTGGATATATCAGTGTTTATGAATATGTACACACTATGAAATATGAAAAACACTGGCTCGAAAAAGAACGCACAGTGAAAAATGAAGTCTTTAATGAATAAAGCACAAGTACGTAATAACAGCGAGGACTGATCACGTGATTACTTCGAGAAATACATTAGTAGATGTTTTGTGTAATATACTAATTACAAGAACAAACAAACTATAAAGCTGATTAATACATATATCTCATTAGCAGCTCGGTGGAAATTCAGAGTCTGGTAAAATCATGTCGAATTCACAAACTAAAGTCACTACAAACCAGTTGCCTAGAAAACCCTGTTGCCTAGAAACCAGTATCACACAAATACATTGCGACATAGCATGATAAGACGAATGTATTTGCTTTGACCTTAGACCTAAAACGGAGCAGGTACTTATATTGACGGATTCATAATTTTATGAGTGAACCTGCAGTTAAATCTTCACTTGTTTGTACTCATTTTACTATCAGCCTCTTGCTTTTCTTACTTAGGTGCAGCTATGAATGTTAATAACCATGCAAGCTTGTCTTCTCGTTGTCTAATGCAAACCTACAGTGCTTTCATCAGGAGCTAGATGGTGGTAGAAATAGTGTCCTAGCATTCTTATAGAGTTGCAAAATAAGGAACATCTTTTAAAACAATACTTATTTAATGACAAACAAACAATAAACTGTCAGCACAGTTTCATAAGAATTTATTGAAGAGCCTGTATGTCTCGTATATTTATAACATTGCAAGTTCACTATCTTGATACCAAGAGACTCTAGCAAGCCATTCACGCAGGAATCTCTAGTCTATACTTTCCTTATTGACTTTAGAAAAACACAAAGCTCGAATTTTAAAGTAGAACGTAATATTGGTGTTAAGAGGGAAGTATGAGTTGGTGTTAAGATACATCTTAGGGAAGTATGAGTGACATGGGTCATTTTTTTTTCTTTTACTGGTTGGTAAAACAGAACATGTTATATCTCACTTACCAGTATTTCTAACAGTGTGTACTTGTTAATCTCCCCCCCCCCTAAAATAAAAACATGAATCGACTGATGTAATGTTTATGAACGCCATTTTCCCTATAATTAGATCCAATAACGGACCGGCAGAATTTATTAACCACAAGTAAACCAAGTGAAATAAGAACACCTAATTTGTAAACAAAAGAAATTCATTCTTAGAATTTCTTATTTAAAAAATCACCGCTGACTTCAAGGTTTTGGTATGTAGGACAGTTATAAAACTTATGCTATTTGTATCAATTTATTTTAAGTGCACGTGGCTTTAAGATTACATTCTAATTAATACACTCTAGTTTAGTAAGTTCCATTGAAAATTGCTACAACTGAAGGAAAAACGACACAGAATACATAATCACACGTTAAGGTTTTTGATGAAGAATAAACATATTCAAGATTTAGAAGTGGAGTTCGTATCAGCCAAAGCTAGAGAAGGAAGACGCGCCTGGCCGTGTTCTTCGCCATGTTGTCGGGCCTTCAGCCGCAACAGATCCAGGCTTGTTTGAGCCATGTCAGCTGTCTTGCTGACGGAAAGAGGGCCAAGCTGATGGAAAGAAGGAGGCAAGATACCGACGGAGTTTGCCGGAACTGTATGCCCGTGCTGACCAGGCAGACCTGCCGAGCTCAGCATGTAAACGGAGAGAAGAGCCGAACTGAGTGGACTGACAGTGCTAGACTTATGCCATGGCACACCCGGCAGACCTGTCCCGACTCCCGGACTAGCAGCCCCGTTGCTGGCTGAGAACAGATGGTTTAGGCCTATATGACTAGGAAGCCCTCCGATGGTCGAGGAAACGATGGGGCCATGAAGCCCGTGTCCCCACAAAGGATCCGTTCCAGGAACAGTTGTCCCCGAAAAGACGTGAGTTGGATGTAGTAGCCCCTGAAGGTCTCCACGAGGGGACAGTAAAGATTCCATTCCTGGGCTGTATGTAGGACTTTCACGACCCAAAGCCTTCTCCCGTTTTCTCCACTTGGCTCGTCGGTTCTGAAACCAAACCTGGAAAATTGATAACTTTCGTCAGATGAAACTGAACATAATAAAGGCAGATTTCAGTAAATAAGTAATGCACTAAAACATATTGTACAAAAAAGCAAATGAACTTTCAAAGGTAAAAACTACCTCACGCTAAGCTGGTCTCAACAGATTTTTCTACTCATAACTGAAAGGTTTTACACAACTAGATCGGTGTAAGCTGAATGAAATATCTATAACCTATTTAAAATATAAACTTACTACACGTTTACTGAAAAACAGTTTGTGCAAAACTAAACTTAGTGTTGATAATTTTATCATCTCTGAAATTTTCACCAGTTTTTGGAACGTCTAACGATTCTAATATTATTGCTTTTAATTCATTTATTAAGACAATTAAATGTGCAAAATATTAAATATTAAATTTCAAACAATCTTTATTCACAAGAACGAAATGGAAACATAGTTTGATTATTAAACCAGTCTTTAGAATTTAAGAAACTATTTCTTGAAAATTTAAAAATCTTTATAGACATTCTATTAAAATAACGAAACTGTTTCTAACCTTTCGGCCACCTGAAGCAACAAAATGTTGCTCTCACTTTAATTAAACTTTACAAGAGAAAACCATGTGTTCCTCTACTATAAAGATAAACCAGAGTCAATAAAAAAATCGATAATACTTAACAGTTTTCATTTTAGTATTTGTTTCTATATACATTTTACTAACACTTTTGACATATGTTTCCCATTCAGGCGCAGTCACCGTTAAGTGAATATCACTTCGGTGTTGCATCGACTTAGTGTTTAATCAGCTACAGTAACCAGAAGTGTTTTGTTTCTTTATGACACTGCTTCCACTCTTTGAACGTCACGTTGGTGTTACAACGACTTTGTGTTTAATTACCTATATATATTTAGTGTTTAATCAGTTAAAATGCCTGAAATTTTCGTTTTAACAGTATCCTTATTCGACGAACATCACATTAACTTTACACTTTACTAAAGAGTTCAATAATGTCAGCTATTCAGACATTATCCTTCTAAATATCAGGCAAGTGAAAATTATATTGGTTAAAAAGAGCGT